CCCAGGACATGGCCATTTGTTTATGTTCGCTTTCTCTTCGCCATATCAAACACTCCGGGGCTTCGAAGGTTTAACCTAGTTGCGCCGTTATGAGGCACTTAACTCTCCAGTTACCACTTTATTGCTTCTTAGGCCGTGCCTATGCTCGTAGGGCTTTTTCATTTTTAGAATTGTTTTCGTGGCTGATGTTATACAAATACAAGCGGAAGAATCGATTACTTTTTGAAAGCGCTACAGTAAAAGGGTTGTTGATCAGATTGAATGGAAACAGTTGTTGTCAAAGTCTGCGAGTAAAATCATATATGACGTAAATGTATTCAGAATAAAAAAATATATGTTTCCGTAAACATGTTTTTAGGAACTTTTTTTTTAAAATTGGTGACGTAGAAGTTTAACCAAGCATTTTAAATACACCCCGCAGAATCAAAATTAGAAGTGGTTGAATGATTTCCGGGCTAGTTGCCACGTCGTCGGTTTACAACAGTTGACGTCTCGAGAGACAAACGTCAAGTGTTGTAAACCGACGACGTGACAACCAGCCCGGAAATCATTCAACCATTAACGATGTGCAAAACCGTACTTATCTTATCAACTTCGACGTCACCTGTTACATAGGCGTTGAATAACAATGAAAAAGTAATATTAACGGTCGATAGAAGGAAGCACAAAAAACAGGCACTTAGGTAGGAAATTCTGGAAGGAAGCCTAAAAAGTCGAAGATAGGCAGTTGAAGTGAGAACAGTGTGCAGATAGGTAGCAAGACGATCGGCGGGCAGTGTGTCAAAGTAGTGAAAAGTTGATTGTTTGAGGTGTTATTAGTTAGCAGGTAATATCCTTTAAGTACTTTTTTGTTAATTGTTCTATGTGATCTTATGATTGTGATGATTGTAGATGTTTCATGATGATGGTTCTTTGTGTGTTTAGCTTCCATTGCTTTGTGCTCAGGGGCATATATTTTTCTGAGGTAAAATTGTTACAGTTATTATTAAAGAGTGCTCATTATTTATTTTCATGTTAAAATGTATATCGTCGTGGGCGCCCCCGACTTTACAATAATGACTCCTTTGTTTTACAGCTAACTTGTTTTTGTAGTGATGACGTTGTACGTAAAATATAGAAGTCTCCTAATAATAATTCTGTATATGCTTAGGCTTCATTGTCTTACGCTTAGGGGCGTATATTTTTCTAATATAAAATTGTTACAATTATTATTTAAGGTTGTTCATTATTTATGACATGTTCAAATATGTATTTTGTCGAGACCGCCCAGATAGTGCAATAACGACTTCTTTATTTCACATTTAACTTGTTTTAAACAAGATCATGTTGTTCTTTGATTTCTTGTGTCCACTTTATGTCACACGTCTATACGAGCCTTGTTGCAGTTACTAACATTTTCGCCCGTGCGGAATGAATCTGGATTACGCTGGATAGCCTCCCGTATGGGACTCCAGTGTTAAGAAGGA